AATGTCTTTGGCCTCTCTTTTGAACGTAACGAAAAAAAAAGGTATATAGTTTGGTTTTTATTTAAGTAAATAACTTGTACCTATTTCACAATTATAAGTCATTATATTCATAATTATGTGCCTAACTATTTATTTTAATTTGTATCGGATACAAAAACACAAATTTATTTCATTATAACCTATAATCGTATCATTTACGATTACTTTTTTTTATTAAACACTAATCGCCGTTGAATATTGCATTTCTATTTTTTGTTTCTTTTTTTGCACAAATATCAGAAAAAGTAAACAAAATCACTGAGACCTACTTTATAAACACATAAATGTTTCATTTTTTATTTTGCACTAAACTCAGGAATATAAAACAAAATCCTATTTTAAAACGTGCAACAATTTGTTGGTAGATTCAGATTTTAGTAGCAATAGATTTTAGACATTATTACAATAACTATAATAATAAATTACTTTAAACGAAAACATATGACATATGACCTTTAGTACCTATTAATATACGTATGTATATGTAATATAGACGTCACTGTAACTAATATTGTATATATATATATATATCCTCACACTATATCATTCACAGGGTAGGTAGAGAGAACCCAGTGACTTTAAAATCTACCCTTACGCACAATTGCTTAATTTACATTCATAACTCCTGATATATATAATCATGATTACATTTTTTAAACTCTTATTTGATACTTATAATTATAGTAGTTATTATATTTTTTTATTTATATATTGTGTTGCCAGTTAGCTTTGACTTATATTTGTTTTTTTTAGATAGTAGAGTGCCTATATCCGTGCTCGATTTACAATCTATATTCAGGTAAAATTTTATTAAGATCCGTTCAGCCGTTTAGTTGTGTAGAGATAACAAACAGACATACTTTCGCTTTTATAATATTAGTGTTGATTTATAAAACACTTTTGTTTAGTTACCTATGTTTACTTCATTACAAAAACTAACATATCATTACATAGTATAAAACAAAGTCGCTGTCGCTGTCTGTCCGTCCCTATGTACGCTTAAATCTTTAAAACTACGCAACGGATTTTGAAGCGGTTTTTTTTAATAGATAGAGTGATTCCAGAGGAAGGTTTATAGGTATGTATAATACATGCACACCCGTGAGAAGCCGGGGCAAGTAGCTAGTTATGTAATAAACTAATATTTAATTTACCTACTTAGGGCAGTATCTAAAAATATTGTAAAATATATTTTTTTTTATAGGATAAGGGACTAACTAATAAGGGACTAATATTGCTTTTGAAGAATTATAATAATTATATATTTATTTCTTTTAGTTACTTAGATTAAAATGTACTATAAAATATAATAATATTTATTTTAATATAAAAGAAAGTAATATAATATAGCAAAATAGCTATATTTCTATTCCACTAATCGTTCGGAATATAGTTTCGGCTAAAAATACTGATCAAAGTAACCATAAAAGATAAAAAAGAAATATGCCTTTAGACGTTTACTGTAACAAGGCGTAAAGACAGAAGTGTATATAAAAACAATAGATAAAACGAACACTCCTATTTTAAATATGGATAAACGAATATACAAAAGTGCCAGTAAATCTCAAGGCAGATCTAACGGCGAGAAACTTGCCTATTGCTATTTTAAACAAACACACAACTCTATAGTTACAATATTTAGTTAGAAACGTAATATTAATTTATCCGTATGTATATTTATAACTGCTCACCATAAGTAAATGCCTATTTCTGAATTTACGTACATATCTTTGGTACGCCTAATATAATACAATAATTTATTGAAATTTATGCTAATTTTATAGTTAGCTACCTATTTGTCGTTTATTGCATTGGGTTATTAGAAAAAATAACGTCAACTTGTTTTGGACACAAATTAAAATTACAAACAATTATTTCTATATTTATTTCGTTTAATTTTAAATTAAAATACATTATTGCATTTGTAACATGTAAAAATTAATATTTTATTTAAGTTTTATATGTTTTTAAATACAAATTAAAAATTTTAACGATTATTTATGTATTTATTTCATTTAATTTAAAGTTAAAGTACATTATTGCATATGTAACATGTGTAGATAAATACCTTATTTGAGTTTCGTATATTTTCAATTATAAATTAAATTTTTGAACAATTATTCTGTAATTATTTTATTATATTACAAGTTATTGTACATTATTGCATTTGTAACACGTATAACTTGATACTTTATTTGTGTTTTATATATTTTTAAATACAAATTAAAATTACAAACAATTATTTCTATATTTATTTCATTTATTTATTATAATTTTGTATAATCGTATCTTTTTTCCCTGTTAACTTTCATTGCAAATCAACTAAAGTCTATCTATCGGTATTTTTATAATTTACAAATAAAAATACATTTATTTGAGTAGTTATATGTGATATATTCAATATATTATATAACATATATATAGTATGTATCAATAATTACATAAAAAGCGTAGGTATTTGGTGTCTATGGTTGGTAAAGGTCAGGAAAACCATCAATCAATGTCATTATAGACAATATTTGGCAATTGCCATATCTACGTATGGGGTTATAGATCAGGACTGAGAACAAACAGCTATTCTGATCGAGTAGGTATTTTAGGAAAATTTTTAACTCTGTCCTGCATTTAAACTGCAACTAAAACGCTGGAATTTTAATTAACTACTTAATTAACTAAATCGTTTAATTTTGATTCATTTAATTTAATGCATATTCATTTTTAGATATATAATTTTAAATCCACAATAGATTGGTAGAAATATAAATTTGAAATTGTATTCGTGTTACAATTTTAAACATCCAATATTTAAATTGAAAAATAAAATATTTAAGTAAAATCGAATATGATTGTTACTTACAAAGTTATATATTACAATATATGTTTTACTTATTATTATTTATGAATATTAAGTTAAGTTTAAGTTATATAAGTATTAAATATATACGTGTCTTTTTACAATTTTAAGATTGCCTACAAATTACTTCAATTAGGCATACTAATAAATATATTTTTTAATACATTTGGGCACTGAAGTAACGTTTACTTGTACTTAAATATTACGTAGAGTTCAATATTTATCAGTAGATATTAAATATATATCTCCATCTATCTTTTAATCTAATTATTAATATCTAAAACATCATTAATCAACATCTTTAAAAGTATATTTGTTTTTGAGATTGAATATCTACAATGTACACTAAAGTCAACCGTAAAACGTGGACGAATATGTATTTATTTATATATTGTAATAACAATAAATTATTTATTACAATATTTATGATATGACAGCAACCGGAGTAGGTTATCAACCTACAGTTACCTACGTACTGGTTTATTTGTACAACCTATTTGTTAGTTAAATTACATTTAAATCTGTTCAGTCGTTTTTAAACTAACAAACGTCCAAATTCAGTAACTTTTATGTTAGTTTTACAGTAGATGTCTAACGAGAAAAATAGTATAAAATAACTTTAAGTTAAATGATAACTTTGTATGGAAATGTTGGTTCTATATTTACTAGTTAATTGTAACTTGTGAACTAAATATAGATTACCGTCGGCAACATAATGTAAGGTTTAATGCCCTACATATACATCGTAAACATAAACTATATTTATTATGATTATATTATATAATTATACACATAGATATTTTGATATATATCAATAAATACATTACTATCTCTGCATTATATGTTCACTTTATATTAATTACGATCTCGTGTTATTTTCTTTCATTAATTGCGATTAAGCGAGTAATTATCACAATTGTTTTATCTGTGGCATTTGTTTTGTTGTACATGTCATAGATAAATGCACACGTCACATTTTATTTTTAATTAAAAAAAAAAACAAACTCGATTATTATACGCGCGTCCTTGAATTTGTCGTATTAAGTAATTAACACGTACCTTCTTATTTATTAGATAATAAACTGTAATAATACTATCATTTGAAACGTTCAAGTAATTTCACGTGAAACAAGGTAATATTTGTTTACAAAAAGGATTAAAGTGAATTCTTTATGGTACTGTGACAATAACAATTGTAGGGTACGTAGGTACGAGTCCTTTGAATGCGTTCCGTTATGCCATCTTGGCGGGCAAAAAACTTTTATTGTCAATTGAATTTTATTGTTGGTTTCTGAGACTCTTTTGTGCCCAATGGCGCGTTCAAAAGCTGCTTGTTGCTAGCAGACTCCACCGTGTCCTATGGGACCCGAAGAGAGCATTCCACAATGGGCTCCCCGCTGCAGGCCGCATTATCCCATTTACACGGCCCGATCCGTCCCATACGCGGTACAGTCAGGTGGCCGATATTATGCATACGAATTCATTTATTCACTAATACATCGTAATGTATTCGGAACCCATTGCTGACTGCCGTGTTAGACAATAGGTCTAGTTCATCACATCTATTATATACAAGATCAGTTTTAATAATTTCCGCTAAGTCCTGATCACTTGTAATATAAGATCTGGACTCAGTGATCAGTAATGTTCACTTCGTTTTCTCTACCACGCTCAGTTGTTCGGTGCGATGATTCGACGCATTTGAACGTTACGATTATGTATTCTGAACGCGTTTGACTTGTTAAAACAACTCCTCGCGTCGGGACATGCTTAATGTATCGTCTCAAATGTCCTACCTGTTACTTAACATGTCTCAATTTTGATTTAGTCATGCTACGACTGTACAAGTAGAAACGCCTTCGCCTCTTAAAAAATATGAATGTTTTTTTTTTCGCGAACTGTCTTTATCTAAATCTAACACTTGAGAAAGATAACGTTTTATTGTATTGACAAAATCATATCACCGGCCTTCCAGTTTTACGTAAGTGTATCGCGGAATCCGCTGATATCAATATCAACAAATCGCCTAGGTCTAGCTACTGGTAAGTGAGCGCCTACATCATGTGAGTAGTGTGGTGTGGTGATGTCGGTCAGGTCAGGTACATACCCTAGGCTGAGCCATGAAAGCTCGGCCCGAGCCCGGGTGCAAGGCTCCGCTGGCCACCACGAACGTTTTTCGTCACGGGCCCAACCTAACACAACACAAAAGCACGTGAACACATACACATGGATTATTGACACCGTCACAGCGGCCCGCTAGCTCACTAGTGTCATAATGCACTCGCGACGGTCGGTAACTTAGGTTTTGTTATGTGGTGTTCGATCACGGGACGCGGCGTGGCCGAGCGTGGCGCGGGGAAGCGGGAGGCCCGACGCGCTCGGCAGTCTGGCGGACACTGGCGCGGGCTCCGCGAGCGGCGCCGGCGGGGGGCGTGGCGCCCCGCCCCGCGGACCGCCAGCCAATGGCAGGCGAGCCTCGACCGCGCAGCTCCGCCACTGCCCGCCACTGCTCGCCACGATCGGCCACGATCGCTGCGCCTGTGTGCACACACCCGCTGCCCCGCCACACCGTGCGCGCGTTCGCCGTAGACGGTCGCGTTTTTTCAACGCTTCTTGTGGCAATTACATGAGAGTTTTCATTTCGGATTTTCTGTTCTGTACCTAATCAAAATTGCTGAGTTGCTTCCGTACGGAACGCTGTGAGACGTCTCACGCTCGTATGTGTGCCGCTCCGATGAATGGATGGATGTTTTCTTTTTGTCTATGATTTCGAGTTATGTAGGTAACCATATATCATGGGAAGCAAGCGAGATGGGTCAAATTTTTAGGTAATATTAAAAACAAGTGTTTCGTTAGGATGTAGTCCTACGCATGCGCTGTGCCCTTATAACTCTGGGTACACATAAAAGTGGTTGATGTGAAAACTTGGCGAGTTACAGAGTGACAGCATCCATTCATAATTTAGATACAATCTCCACAATACTCCTTACTGGAATTAGTAGGCACAGACTTGACTTAAACGTAGATAATTAATTTAGATAGGTAGATAACAGTAGATAGGTACAGAGTACCTATATGCACTTAATTAAATAAACAATACAGATCTACTATCTATTCTAGATGATTGATAACCTTGTTTTGTTGAATACTTTCTTAGATATAATCACAATTAGTTATAACTACACTGGAAGCCTCATTTCCCTATTAAAAACAAAATCATAGGTCTGAACCTGTAATATCAAGTCAAACATCTAATTTATTAGGTACTTTTTGTACTATCGTGTATAGAAGAAACATCTAGAAGCACAGCCAATAAAATTCATACCAAGCCAGCTGCGAAAAGTGAATTTCCTAATTTAACCCAACAAGAGTCTCATTTATCGAACCTAAACCTAAGTTATGGCTCATCTACTACACTACTATGGACTTTATAACAATAAACAATATTGCAAATAAAGATATTCGTGGTCTATCGATTTAACACGCCACCTTACTTCCAACAGTCGCGGGTTCGATTCCTCGCACGCTACAAATATTTGTACTGAATATGACTACTTGTCTCTTGACTCTGGATGTTTTGTATGCGTATTATGTATGTATGTATATACAAAAAATATCTAGGTAAGTATATCTATCAGTTGTCTAGTACCCATAACACAAGCTCTGCTTATGTCTGTACTAGATGGCGTTGTATATATTGTCCAGGGATATTATAAATTACTGAAAAATATATTTATTTATTTATTTTATTAATTTAAACTTTAATGCACAAATACAATATATAAATGTACATATGACGTACTTAACACATAAGGGCGTTCTATACTAGTCAACCATAAGGCAAACTGAGAAGTTAGTAGTAATATATTTTTATAAATACCTATATAAGTATAAAGATAAATTATTGAAACGTCTTTTAAAAGGAAAGTAATTTATTAAATTTCTCCGTCACCTATAGACATGAACCATGCATCACGTTATCATGTGATACCCATGATACCACACATGCGTTGTCATTCCAGAAGAATAACCTATCACGCCTCTTACCCTGTAATTTCACTGCCTAATCTCACCCTGCAACCGAAACAGCTTACAAAGCCAGCTGCTTGGCTGATGTAGGTGAGACTGAAGACTTTTTTTAATTGGAAGAGAAGGGCTGAAGATCGTGCCTTGGGAGAGGCCTATGTCCAGCAGTGGACTGCAGTGGGCTGATGATGATGATGATGATGTGGACTTTGTACAAAGTATCTGTAAAACTGCTTATTGAAGCGCATTAAAGTAATATACAGTAATAATATCAGGTATAAATATCAGTTAAATATTAACATACACAACCGTTAGGTTAAAGTTAACTTAGCAACGTTGTTTATTTCATAGATAAATATAATACCATTGTGTATAAGTAGGTACTAAAATCATGACAATGTACATTATCATATTAGTTTGACGTACAGATCATTTTTAATATAAATACCTATGGCGCAGGAAAATATATTAGGTATAGGTACAGCCATATACGGCTGTATGCGAGCCGTACGTCATTTGGTTTAACTTATTAATTATTTATTTAAAACTATACATACATAAATATTTTGTTTGTAACATACAGTAAAGAAAGCATATAATAATAATAACACATGTAAAATTACAATAAGGCGGCCTTATTGTTGATAGTAATCTTTTCAAGGTAACCTTTGATTTAAATATCGAACATTAATACCTATATAGGTGAAAAGCAAAAATAACAAGCATACCCGTATAAAAAAGAAGAAAACTAATAATAGGTAATATGAATTAAAATATATGTAAATAATAATAATAATAATAATATATAAAACTAGATCCTACATTTACATGAACTACATATAAGTACATTATAAAGTACTAACATATCTAATTACTAAGGTAAGATAAGATAAACTTAGTAAAAGTTAAAATTAAAATTCCATACCGAATGAAATTTGAATGTTGAAGAAATCTTTTAAAAATATCAATATAGTTTGCAGTTCAGATACAGGTGACAAATTCCATAACTTCATACTAGTTCCTGAGAATTATGATAGAATCCAGTAAAATGGGAAAGAGTGGAAAGCAAGAGATTACGGAAGAACGTAATGATTAAGCGTGAGTAGAAGAGGAGAAAGTTTTTTGAAATATTTTTTTTTTATTCTACGATGGTGGCAAACAAGCAGACGGCCCATCTGATGGTAAACAATTACCGTAGCCTATGGACGTCTGAAACACCAGGGCTACATGTGCGTTGCGGACCCTTAAGTAACTTTAATCTACCCTTCTTAAAAATCCAAGGCTGTAGTAGACTGTAGTCTATTGGGAAAGTAGGTAGTTCATTCCACAATCTAAGTGTACGCGGGAGGAAGCTTCTCTGAAACCGCACTGTTCGAGACCACTTAGGTTCCAGCGTGTGATGAATTCCCTGTCGATGGCGAGCGGTGCGATGGTAAAAGGTAGCCGTAGGCATCATGTCGAATATATATATTTATATTAGCTATAGAAATAGATATTCTATTTCTATAGCTGACTATTGTCTTCTTTTCTAAGTGTACGCGAAAGGAAACCTCTAAAACCCCACTCGAGACCACTTAGGTTCCAGCTTGTGGATCAATTTCTAGTTTCCTGAGAGTAGTCTGCCAGGAATATAAATTTACTAGCTGTGCCCGCGATTATGTTATTCTGCTGTATAAGCTATGTTACTGTAAATCATCAAAATCCGTTCAGTAGTTTTTGCGTGAAAGAGTAAATCCAGACTCACAATTTTTCTCTCTTATTAACTTTAATATTAATAAGATATATTTTACTGAAGCAGGTGTTATTTTGCCAAAGAGCATTTCATTATTCAATGAATTAGATTAGATTTTTTTTATTTCGCTACATTTAGCATGTGTGAGATTACAAATATTGCGCGGTCACCTGACCACCCCGCCTGGAAGTGTCATGACCTTCCTATTAGTGATCAAATTCTGACCGTTATTGAACAGAGAACTAGTGTTGACTGTACACTGCAGTTTGATCGTCATACAGTCGACATTTTTTTTTTATGTCACACATGGTCCCAGATCTCAATTTCTTGGCTTATTACGATTCATACAAACTAATTGTTCATTACATGACTTATATTTATTATTAATATTTACTATTATGCCTTAATATTTTTCTTTTTTCTTTTTTTACAATTCACACAGCGCCATCTAGACCCAAGTTAAGCTAGCTAGAGCTTGTGTTATGGGTACTAGATAACTGATACATATACATAGATATTTTTTTTTGTAAATACATATATATTATATATAGAAAACACCCAGACCGATACAAACAATCATACTCATGAATACAAATGTTTGTGCCGTGCGAGGAATCGAACCCGCGACCATCGGTCGTAAAGCGGTGTGCTTGACCGCTAGACCACCGAGGTCGTCAAAATATTTAGTACCTTATCCTTAGAACAGTCGACGCTAGGCTTCCAAGCTATATCCGAACTCTAATCAATGCCTGACAATGCCTCGTTCAGAGGCGAAACACGTGTCGCAATATAGGTGTAGACTCAATAACGGTCAGAAATTGATCACCGATAGAGAAGGTCGTGACACTTCCAGTAGGGGTGGTCATGTTTCCGGACTGAATATTTGTCGTCTGTAGATTTGACATATCATAAGAGTCTGTAATAGACCTACATGAATAAAGATATTTTGAATTTCAATTTGAATAGGCTCTCCTAATTTTGCGAGGTCAGTACCAATCTGTTCAGATTTGTCGGGTCCCAATTTTTCCCTCTCGATGAGATCTGTAGGTACCTCCAGGTACCCACCTGGTAGCTGGACGTCCTCTATCTCTTTTATATTCGGGTTGTAAAGCTTTTTAACCGCATATTCTCGTCTTCACCTTACATTGCCATACCATGTGAGACTACTGTCGGTGACTTTTTCTGTTATTGGAGCCACTTTAACAGACCAGGTTTAACTCTTGAATTACTTGAATTGTTGTCTATATTTAAATCTACTGCATGAATAATATGAAGAATAATTACCTAAATATGAAGCTACAGAATATATAAATGTAGATGCGGGTTATTAGTTTTACCTCCTACATATACCTATCAAATGAACAAACAATATTAGCTACTAAATTTATTATTAATTACAAACCTACTAGCCGTGCCCGCGGTTTCACGCGCTTAAAATTTATAGCCTATGTGATGTTTGTATGTGTAAGCTACTTACTGTAAAGTTACATCAAAATCCGTTCCGTAGTTTTGCGTGAAAGAGTAACAAACATCCATCTATAACATGACTTATTTTTTTAAACCGCACCCAAATCTAAGTTTCTGAGATTAGTGAACACAAACGCACAAAGCAGATAAACCGGCATAAATTTAT